TCCCAGCAACTCAGGAGATTCTCAAGTTCCAAGTCAACATTAGCAACTTAGTGAGACTCTGACTCAAACTAAAAAATGAAAAGGACTGGTAGAGCATAATTGGGTTCAATCCCTAGTACTGCATAAACACAAAACAAACACACTAGGTATTTGCTAAAAAAAAAAAAAAAAAAAAAAGATATAAAACTTTGGGAATGGTTATTAGTCATTGAATCAGGTTCAAATATTCCCTGTCTCCTTTGAAGAAGATCCCTGCCCACTCTGAAGGTCAGCATGGCCAAGTGATTTGCTTTGGTCAACAAAATGGAGCAAAAGTGATATGTGCCACTACTGGACAAAAACTTTAAAAACCTGAATGGGGCTCACAAAATTTCCTTCCCATGTAAGCACATTTCAGAGATAGTGCCTCCATCACCCTGGGTCCCATAGATAGAGCCGTTCACTAACCTGAAAGTGTGTTCACCTTCTAAGGTTTTGTTGTTGGTTGTTACCTCAACATAATGTAGTCTATATTGTCTGATGTCGATTTACAGGACAATAGTATTTAGTACCCCAAGTACAGAAACACAGAAAATAATACCCTCTACTTCCCAAGGGCAACAAAACAAGGGGGGAGGAGGAGATATAAAGCCATAATTTAATACAGATAAAAATACAACCAAGCACATAAGTAGAATTATAAAGCCACAGATTAAACACCTTAGAGTAGGTAAGAGAGTATGTGGGAGAAAAAAGAAAATGGGAAGGAGGATGAGAGAAAAGGGGAAAATAAAAGGAAAAATTAAAGGGGATGAAAAGATGTATTAAACACGTTACATAAATGTCTGAAATTTTGTTGATTTGATTCGTCCAACAAACATGCACATCTATCACACGCCAGGTACTATTTCAAGGGCTACTTACAGAGTAGTGAATCAAAACTGTGAAGTTCTATGCTTAAAGATTATGGTGTACAAGAAAGGTGGATATTAACAATCCCCAGTTTAAAAAAAATAGACAATAATTAAGCCTCAAAAAAATCAGGTGACAACAAAGAAGAATATATTTTAGATGAAGTAGGCTGTGAGCATCTCTGAGGAAATGACATTTAGATATTTAAGCTGAGAGGTGATAACTGCTTCCTCTCCAGTTAGAAAAGAGGGAGAGATTATTCATTCTAGGAAAAGGGAAGAGCAGGGCTGGGGTTGTGGCTCAGTGGTAGAGCACTTGCCTGGCACGTATGAGGCCCCGGGTTCAATCCTCAGTACCACATAAAAACAAAATAAAGGTATTGTGTCCACCTACAACTAAAAAATAAATATTCAAAAAAAAAAAGGGAAGAGCATGTGTAAAAGCCAAAAGGGAGCACAGACCTTCCCATGAAGGAAGTGAAAGAGGACCAATGTAGAGAAAGAAAGGAAGGGCAAGAAACGTGGTTAATGAGATTTGAGGCAGGCAGCTCACTCAGGGTCCTTATATTTAAGGAATATAAATTTTATTTTATGATGGAACCAGAAAAACATTTTTTTACAAAGAGGGAATAATATGATCTTATTTCTAACTTATTGCATTTAACACTTCAGATCCTAGAAATATGCTCACATATTTTTGTAGAATTTGCAAAAGAAGGATATGTTTGCATTCTTTTTGAGGATCCCCAAAACTTGCATAAAATTTAGGATCCATATAACCAGCTTCCTCTCTGAATGGGGTAAAGCAATTTTGACAATTTGTTACCAAGAGTTCTTCATTAGCAATGGATTTTTTTTCCTTCATTAATTCACATTATCTGATCATTTTAAAGTTGTGCCAGGGGCTGGGGATGTGGCTCAAGCAGTAGCGCGCTCGCCTGGCATGCGTGTAGCCCGGGTTCGATCCTCAGCACCACATACCAACAAAGATGTTGTGTCTGCCGATAACTAAAAAAATAAATAAATGTTAAAAAATAAAAATAAAATAAAGTTGTGCCAGGACCTAATCACAGAAACAATGACCACAACAGAGTTCTTTCTACTGGCAATCCAAGATAGGGGAAGTTTTGCCTGAGAAATACTATCAGAAGGAAAAGGTGAAGAAGTACACAGCTTTCCTCCTCTTTAGTGCTAGGAAAAAGGGGGAACAGTCCCTGTTTGTATCAGCAGCCTACACAAAGATGCCTCCTATTGTAACAACAATGAGTCATGGAGGTACATGCAGATGCCATGGAAACTAACCTAAGGAGGGTTGTTTGTACAGAAGCACCCTAACTTACAGATCCACCACCGTGAATGGAAATTACCTTCCAATGTCTTTTAGTCTTCTCAACACTTACCAATAACAAAGGCATCATTTTTGGAAGGTTTATTACATACAAGCTCATTTAATCCTCACAACTATCCTAAGTAGGTTCTATCATTAGCCCCATTAATATGGATGAAAAAAAATAAACCTAAGCCTCAGAGAGACTACTCAGACACTTGTCTCAGATCATAAAACCACCACAAGTAACCAGAGTCAGGCTTCAAATCCAGTCTGACTCCAGAGCCCAACTTTCTAAGCACTATTTAGAACCTCCCAGTCCCACCCAAATTTTTCTCCTCTCAACTTCAAGGTAGTTTTTTCTTATCCTCTTTGTATCATTTTCATGTAATTTCTTCCCCTTGCAAGAATACAGCTGCGGAGTCAACAAAATAATAACAGGTACTTCCACTCAATATCCACCTCTAAATCAAAGAGGAAAAGGATGATCAGTTCCCCAGAACCCACTGAGTCAACACTTGTCCTGAGCTGGGTGTGGTGGCAATGCATGAAATCCAGCAAACTCAGGAGCTGAGGCTAGGGGATTGTTAAATTTGAGGTCAGCCTGGAAACTTAGTGAAAACCTACCTTGAAATAAAAAGCAAAAAGGGGGGACTGGGGTTCATCACTCACCTAGCATAGTTGAAGCAGTGGGTTCAATCCTTAATACCATATAAAAATAAATGAACAAAAACAAAGGTTAAAAAAAAAAAGTAAAAAGGGCTGCAGATGTAGCTCAGTGGTAGAGTACCTCTGGATTTTAATCCTCTACTAAAAAATAAAACTTGTCCAGAAAACAGTGAGGATTACTGAGGAACCCCCTCCCTGGGGGCTTTCTGTCTGTTTTAAGGGCACAAAATACTGTACACTAAAACTGAAGGATAGTTTCCAATGCAATCCATCCATATGTACAAGTCAATATCATGTAAAACAGCAACTCCAGTACTAAAAGAGCCTGGGGGAGGGGGGGTGTATACTGGGAGCAAGTCTGAAAAAACCTAGCAGAATTCACACAAATCTACCACCTATTGCCCTTGTGACCATTACAGGTAAGGACAGAGTCATCAAGCCAACAGAGTCCCTCTAGGGAGAGGAAGGGAGGCTACAGAAATCATCAAAGGGCAGAAGGTCCATACCTACTCTATTCATTTCATCAGCAAGGATAAAGGTAAAAGGTTAGGACCTTTATCTTTTCTGGTTATGTCTCCAGCTAGATAGGCATCTCTCCCTCACATGGTCACGTTCTTTACTCAGGACCCAAAAAAGAGTTGAGAGCGGGGCTGGGGCTGTAGCTCAGTGGCAGAATGCTTGCCTAGCATGCATGAGGCACTGGGTTCGATCCTCAGCACCACATAAAAATAAGCAATAAAATAAAGGCATTCTGTCCATCTACAACTATAAAAAAAAGAATTGAGAGAACTGAGAAATCCCCATGAAATAAGTGAGCCACACTGGAAACAGCGACTGAGCACCTTGCATGTGGTTTCCATGGTCATAGTATTCATGTCAGGAGTTCAGACCCCATGGTCAAGTAAGGAAAGCCTGGGGAGTCACTGGTTAGGGGATGTTTATTTAATAAATGGTCAGATAAAGAAGAAAACCGCTTCCTTTTAGCAAGAGAGTTGCCAGGAAGAAGGCCAGGGACTGGGAGTCCCCAGAGTCAGCAAGGGAAAAGTCACATAGAAGTCTGTATACACACGCCCCCGCTGGCCATGCGGCCCACCGGCTACAAGGACCCACAGGTGTCAGGCACGAAGGTAAAGATAGGGAAGCTGATCCCAACTCAATACCCACTAAGCCGGTCTCAAAGGCACAGATGTGCCCTTAATTTTTTCCAAGACATTTGCCTCCTCGTCCCGTTACAGGCCAGAATCCCAGAGGATCTATTTAGAAAACCGCAGCGGGAGGCTAGGGGCGATGTGCTAGCTTTCATTTTCTTGAGAAAAGACTAGTCAGTGGCCAAGACGACTGAAAAGGGGGAAAGTCGAGACTCGCTGGGTCCACTCACTGGTCTGAGTCAGGCGCGCAATCAGTGCTTAGTCACCGATACCTCGGCGGCGGGGAGTTCCTCGCCCCCTTCCAGTCCGAGCCCTACGTGACCAACACGAGCGGAGCCCGGCGCGCAGTGCACGCTCGACTGGCGCTCGA